TGGGAGAGAATGCCTTAGGCATTAAATGTAAATTTTTTGGGAAAAGTAAATGGACATAACTTTAAATTTGGCGTAATTCAATCAAAATAAATTTTAAACATTAGAAAAAATCACTAATGAATTAATCAACAAACAGATTTCGGCGGTCGCTTATAGTTTTCGAAAAAATAAATATTTTCAAACTTGTTATTTTCACTAAGAAAGTCCGCCATTTCGTCGTTCATTTTGTTGTTGTTAACATTTAATAACGCTACATTAAGTACTAAAGGAACTTTTTAAAATACTCACAAATATACACACAGAAATAAAATTAAAATAAAAATTAAAATATGTACATAAAATATCACTACTACTAGTAGACACACACGTATTATCCGCCATTGCAAATACGAATAACTACTATTCTATTGATGTTAAATGATGAGCGGGAAATACTTCCGGTTTATATTTAGTTCCAAATTCAAATTTATAAATTCATTTAGCTGGTACATTTTAGTTTTGAAAACAGTCATTCGTTTGTTTCTTTGTCATTATTTTATTCTTTGGCGCCGCTTAGTACCGCACTATGGAAAATATGAAATATCAGTATATTTACAAGTACGAGTTTGGCACTACTACCGTGGCACTAGTACTGTAGAAACAGCTCGAAGGATTAATAATGTGTACGTCGCTGGTGCCGCAAAAGAAAGCTCGGTACGTTTTTGGTTTCACCGTTTTCGTTCTGGAAATTCCTACCTTTTTCAGAACCAACCCCGTGAACGGTTAGAGACCAAAGTGGAAAATAAAGAATTAAAGGCCATTTTGGAAGCGGATCCATTACAAAGCATTTCAGAGATAGCTGAAGGTTTCGGGGTGAGTGATAAACTTAATCCACTTGAACCAAATCGGGAAGTAGAACGAAGGGCACCTAATGAATTGAGTGAATTCAACTTCCAAACACGTGTCCACTGCTGTTTATTTGTATTTTGCTCAACCGACAAAATAATGAAGGGATTTTAAATCGAATCTTTACTTATGATAAAAAATGGATACTGTACGATAATCGGAAGCGCTCGTCGCAATGGCTCAACCCTGGAGATCCAGCCAAATCCTGCCCTAAACGAAAATGGACTCAAAAAAGTGTTTGGTGGACTAGCGCCGGTGTCGTTTACTACAGCTTTCTAAAATTTGGCCAAACGATTACGGCAGATTGTCAGCAACTGCAAACCATGAAGGAAGAACTAGCTTCCTTCCTGATAGATGGCAAAAGTACATAGACAACAACGATATATACTTTTATTAACTAAATATATTTTACAAAAAAAGATTGACGTCATATTCCTCCCGAACAAAACGCTAATGTCATATGTAAGGATCTAATATTATTATCTTTTTCGCTAATATAGGAAACCTATTTTTCCAAACACCGCTCAACAATATTCCTACTTCTTATTTGTGTATCTACCCACTATGTGTTTTATAACTATTGTTTGAACATTAAACGAGAATTGGGGTTTTCTGTTCCGATAACTTTCTGCATTGTCTCCACCTGTAGATTTTATTGGGATATAGATACAATCAATGGCAGCAATAAACCTTGGAAATCTATCTCCATCTCCAAAAGTCTCCACGTAATTCATTAACATCTTCTGGGAACTTAACAAACTGTGGTCCTAATCGTGCGATTGCTTGTGACACAACATTCACAATTTGACAAGCTGATTGCTTACTCTCTCCAGTAAAATCACCAACTACGTGCAGAAATCTTCCGGTTAATGAAGTCGATCCATAAATGATATAGGATAATTCCTGAAAAAAATATTATTTAAGAACCTATTACAAATAATATGGGTATTGAGTAGATAGACATTTCACTTACGTTAAGTTATTTATATAAAATAAAACACATTATTTTATATACACCTTTCTATATTAGAAGAAATTTTGTACTCAATAAGTGAATGGATATAATACGTAGTGTCTTTATTAAATCTAAATCGCAACCTAAATTTCTTATCATCACCATGTAATTAGAGCGACTTCGAAACACAGGATATCTACGCGGTTTCGATAAACGATAAAAAAAGAATCGTCTTATTGGTCGTCAAAGGCGTTAAATAGATCCATTTTTAATATTTTTCGATTTCACAACATACGAAATACGTATACTAATTCCTTCTTGAAAATGATCTGTCAAGTATCAAACCACCGAATAAATTCCTCATTTATTTATTTATTTATCCTTTATGCACAAATAGTACAATCGCGGACTTAATGCTAAAAGCATTATCTCCCAGTCAACCTTGGGGTGGTACAGAGAAAATTAGGTAGGTGCACAGAGAAATTTCCAACAAGGAAAACGCTAATATTTACAAACTATGTAATGTATATATGTTTATGTTAAATACAGTACTAAATTATATACAAAATAACATAAGAAATATACTACAAAATATACGTAATACATACTCACATATAGAAATAAATACATATATATATAATTACATATACATACACATATATATACATACATACATATAAATATACTCTAAACATAACAATGGAATTGATCTACCGAGACAAGTTTTTGAAAATATGCTCACGAGCTTTGTTTTTAAATATAGAGCGACTTTTAGCCAACCTGATTTCGAGAGGGAGTGCATTCCACAGAAGAATAGAATGGATAAAGAAAGAAGAGTTCTTGAAGTCAGAACGGTGCGAAGGAAATTCAAGAAGACGATTTTGCGAAGAGCGAAAGATTTTGTTACTGACTGCACATAGATACTGAAAATGATGGGATAAGTAAGTCGGAGTAGAAGGAGAGTTCAGGAAAGAATAAAGAGTAGTCAGTGCTCTTAGGGAACGTCGTTGACCTCATCTGACAGATGATCTAACCTCTAATTTAATTTAAAGTTTTTTTTTTGGAACGAAGTTCCTTATCGCGCGTTGTGTGGGGCCTAGACGGAAAAAATTCTCACGCTATGAATATAAAATAAAATAAACTTAAATTAATAAATTAATATGATTTATAATAATTAAATCATATTTATTAAATAAATATGATTCTTTAAGGTGTTAATAATAAAAAAATATTATTATAACTTAAAAAAAATAAAATTTTATTACAATTCCTTCACTAATTAATCGAAAGGAACTTCGTTCCATCCGGGTGTCCCTTGACACCTCTCAACTTTTTTATGTGAAAATTTGCCAAACGAGCAGACGGTTCACATGATGGTAAGTGAATACCGCCGCCCATGGACATCTGCTACACCTGAGGGTTACAGATGCGTTGACAACCTTTTAAAAATTGGGCTCCGGCTACCCCACTTACCAGACGAAACGCGAAAGTATTTTTCATACTTCCACTTTACGCTGGTCTTCTGTGAGGTCGTGGTACTTACCCGGACGGGCCTGCCCATTCATGCAACAGCCGAGGCTGCTGCGTGGCTCTGCCACCGTTGTGGTAGGGCCACGCAGCAGCCTCGTACTCGTACAAGTTTATTCGTATATTGTAAAAGTAGCTAAGGCCTTTAAAACTCAAGATTCCAAAAACTAATTTCAAATTTAACAAATTTAAAGCTAAATAACAAGTTTTAACTCGGTGACTGTATGATCAAAGAACGTCGCCAAAGAAACAAAACTAAATTAGCCTATTTTAAAGGCCCTTACAAGGTCTCTCGAGATATCAATAGTGAGTGACCTTATATGTGTTGTGAGTGGCAATATATCTTAATAACAAGATATCTGTGTGCCAATATATCTCGATGATCTTTATCATAAGTGTGTGGTGAAATGTAAAATATTATTACCATAATTTGTTAGAGCTAAGGTGTTAAAAAGAGCTACGAATGTTGTTAGTATGGTCGAGCTCGAGCATATTTTGCTGCATATTTAGTATGATGTTAATTCCATCTTCACTTACCTTGGCATACTACATACATCATTAGCCACAGGCATCCACCGTGCCAGATTCCGGTTGAAACCCATATTAACATTCAGATACACTCTCGTCGAAGCCTAAAATCAATAAGGCGTTCCAAGAGCTTGATGTTATGGGATATGATTTTAAGCCCCCTATAACTACCGCAATCCTGAACACTAACCTTTCCTTTGTAAATCTTTCCAGTTTATCCTATTAAATTTTATCAAACAAAACGCCACTACTTGAAAAGAAAAAAAAGATTATCTGATGGATTTAAATGGAAGAAAACTCCCGGCGAAACAAGGGCTAATAGAAATAATGTAATTCATAGTCATTTTTCACGTATTCATTTTATAGTGTAGATAAGATTACATATAGTACGTAAGATTTACGTACTATATAGTACTCCATGTACTTTGCATATATTTCCTAAAACAACATTTACTGTAATGGAGAAGTGGTGCGTTTGCATTAATCGTTTTCGTCGAGTGGTGGGGATTGGTTTTAAGGTCACCTTAAATGTAAATCTAAGGGATCATCGCCGCCCAGCATTATTACACGCATCCATCTCTATAACAACACTATATCACATCGAAAATGATTGCGCGGAAATGTTTGCATAACTTTACTAAGAAATGTGTCAGATGGTGAGTTTAAATGATGTTTATTATATTACTCAATCAAACTTCTTAAATTGGGATAAGTTAATGCTACTAGTTATGACGGCAGCAATCATAGAAAAATGCTGGAATTGAAAATTCTTGATTCTTGCATCGGAAAGGAGGATTGTATATTGTATAAAAGTGTTTATTTTGTTACTCTTATTTTGTAAGGAAAGCACTTGTTTCTAACATAAGGCAGCCCGTCTTCGGTATTCGCGGCCTGACACACATCAATCGACAATCTTTTCGTACTTCTTCTACATATTTTAATATTCAATCTTAAGTGCATAGTGTAAAAAAAATTAGCACTATAAACAATTTAAACTTTTATATTACATTCTACCATCTCTTTGTGCAGGACATCCACTGTGACGAAACCAACCTCTACCCTAGCAAATCAGTTTTGCGATGAATTCCATGTTTACTATCCGAAAATGGTAGACAAAGCGCTAAATGAGAGCAAGTATATAGATCATCCATTACTCAAGGATAAAATAAAAAAGGTCACTAGACTAATTGTACTTAAATTTTTACTAGTTATGATAAGGAACATATTGTATTTATAATTAGTTCATAATAAATATTCCAGATGAGCGAGCACCTTATGCTCTCGAAGTTTCCACTTCAAGCTGAATTTTTCTTTCTCGCTTACGAGCTGCTCGAAAAGCCAGAAAACATAACCAGTGACAAATTGCGGCAAGCGTATTATGTGGCCTGTGCTTCAGAACTGGTAAGTCTGGTGTAGATTGTTCAAAAATATAATGATGTTAATCATGCACCGGTGGTGTATGATTAACTTCACACACCTTTGATGATTCAACCACATCACATCATCACACACCTTTGATGATTGTTATATAGTCACTCTCGGGCCAGTTACGATTTTGTACCGATCAAAATCACCGATATACCAATGCTATAATTGAAATAAACCTACAACGAACAACTTTTGTTAAGGTACTAGTCCTTACTTTGATTAGTTTACAGTAAAATGCTTGGTACGTACGCAGCTAGTTAATTGCAATTTCACTACAAATTTTTTAGCAATTTTGCACAAGATGATTGCGGATATGTAAACAATTTAATTGTGTATACTAATTATGGACTATAATATTTTTGGCATTACATAGTAAGAAACACCCCGTCTTTGTTTAATATTGAGTATCATGCAACGCTTATTTTCATCAAGGTGATCAGAACTACAAATAGAATCTCTTTAATCCCAATATTACTCGAAATTAGTTCATATTAATAAACGTTTTGTCCGTGGGGTCCCCATACATCGAATTTTTTGAAAAATTGTCGTCCTAGGCCTAACGCCGCGGCCTAATTACAAAAGGGCTGGCTCTTTTCTCGCTCAAAGTGAGGAATCTCAAAGGAGTTTAGTGAGGAAATTAACCTAGCGTTCTTTGCACCATGCCGACTGGACGAGGTTTATTAGATAATATGTAATTTAGATAGATTTAATGCTGTGTTCATGTTATGCATTGTTCTATATATAAGATGCTCTTTAAACTTATGTTTAATTATCTTACAGGTGCAGTCATATTTTCTGTTTCACGATGATGTTTATGACAATAGCGAAACACGTGCAGGAAAAATATGTTGGCATTTGACCCCCAACGCAAGTCGCTTCACATTAAATGATACGATTATGCTACGTGGCTTTACAAACGAAATGTTGCACTCGTATCTTGAACCATCGCTCTACAGAGAATATATTGACCTATTCAACGAGGTTTGCTTTATTTTTACTCCTATTCGCATAAATTCGATGCTTTAAAACATGACTACTAACTATTTTGAAATTCTCTTGAATAATTTTCTAGATTGACATATTATTATCATTTAACATAGTATAAAACACTGTCTGTCTTTCATGTCTGCTTAAATCTTTAAAACTGCGCATCGGATCTTGATGCGATTTTTTTTTACTAGATAGAGTGATTCAGGAGCAAGGTTTATGTATATTTAAAATAGCAATTCTTGTATATATATATATATATTATATATAATCGGAATCTCGGAAACGGCTCCAGCGATTTTCATGAAATTTAGTATGTGCGTAGATTCGGGGGCGAAAAATCGATCTAGCTAGGTTTCATTTTTAGAAAATGTCCTTTTATCCCTGTTTTCAGGGGATGAAAAATATAATTCGAATATGACGGTGAATTTCGCCGCAAGAGAAAATGTCATAATAGCTCGGTCGGTAATCGGGCGACCCCAAAACGGACGGCCGTGGTTCGCGTCACGATCATTTACACATTTATTTTTTTACTTTTTTTCGATTCCAGATCATTGCTTTCTTTATTTTTAATTTTTTGTCGATTTGTTATTTTGTTATTTTTTTCCCATTTTTTTTAAAGCTCTTTCTTTTGTGAAAAACATCAGTTCATATTTTCTTTTCATTACTCAGTAATTTGTATCTAAATGTAATTTCCAAAATACACGATTTACAAAAACATACCGAGCAAAGCTCGGCCCTCCGGGTACTGTATAATACATGCATAATACAATAGAGTGTATTTATTATCAGCATTGCACCCGTGCGAAGCCGGGGCGGATCATTTAATAATTTAGCGTTTGTTTAATCACTAATTTCTCAGTAATAACATATTGTTACGAGATACGGGTTGCTGGATTGGAGTAAAGGGCTGGTGTTCCTTCTTTCCCCTTATTTCAATACTTCGACAGGTACGACGTCGCACTCTTGATAACGCACTAGAAATTAATTTCCACTTCCTGAGCTCCTCTCACTTCTATTCTTCCTTTTCATTACCTCTTCTTACTTTCACCTATAGACTCATCAATCAACTGCCTTCTAGCGTACCGGTGCGCCGATGAACCATAGTGTTATTAAATGAAATGATAGTGACCCAATTAAATTATAGTGTCATTGCTACTAAGTGTTTCGAATAAATGTCTAATGACTAGCCAAACACGAGATCTCATTTTATGATGATACGTGGGTCACAATGAAAGTTCTTATAAAATGATAAAACCGCTAAAAAGAAGTTTTCATTGGCAAAGCTCAACATTCAAGTTTTCATTGGCTAACTGGCCTATTTGAAAAAACTTCAGTGTCACCCTGATATTTGTCGGCCGCGCACCAATCCTATATTATATAACTACTAATAAAGTATAAACAAGGGCATTTCCAGAGGAATTGTTCATTATTTTCTCCACGAAGAATCTATAAGGATTTTGTATTTTATTTGATTACTTTATGAATTTCCTTTTGTTTGCGTCTCGTCTCTCTCTGATTTCAGTGCGTTCTCTATTATATCTATCGTATCTCTATTTAAATGATAATAATTAAATTTCAGTGAATTGCGCCAGAGTTAATAATTCATTAATAATTCAGTCACAATTTTTTAATATCTATTCTATATTCCATATCCATATTTCATTCCATATCCTTCGACTACACCCTTCGTAGCAGGGCAACTATAGCTTCATAAGATCTCAACGAGTAGACTAATTCGACCGGGCCGCTGACAGGATACCAAAATTAAGTAAAAGTGCTTACTTTCTTGCGCTTTATCCGGTGAATGATGTAACTGAAGATCAGCCTTGAAGTTGGCAACGCGCCTGCAACATATGTGGTTTTAAGCCTCCACGCGCGATGGTTCTCACTTATCACTACGAGAATCGTTTAATCGGCTGCCAATCCTGTAAAAGAAGATAATTCTTTAAAATTCACTTGATATCGTTATCATAATGGCATATTGTTCAGCGGGACAAATACATCTTTAAAACATGATTTAAAACATTCACAAGCTACAGAAGATCATGATTATGCATCATCCAATTTGACTGTTTTCTACAGATGTTCTTAGGTATTGCAATGGGACAGTATATAGATTTGCTAGTACCCGCGACGAAAGACTACAACAGTTTCACTATGGAAACGTACGAAAAAATCTCGAATTTGAAGGCTTCAGGTTACGCCATGAATTCCCCGATGTTTTTGGCTTTAATAATGGCCAATAAGGGGAGTGAAGAATCTTTTGAACTTGTAAGACACGTGTGTACTAATCTTGGAATTCTATCTCAGATCCACGTAAGTCTTTCTGTATATTTTTTTATTTATTTATTAGTTGCACCAACAGAGTAGACACCATCTCAAGTTAAAAAAAAAGAAACCAAAACACAAGATTGGTGCTACTCCAATTATAGGTACAAACAACACACAAATCATCAACAGCGTTACAAATTAAGAATTAAATTGAAATTACTAATTAATAATACAAATTAATAATACGATATAAATGAATCATTACAATAAGAATAAAAATATAATAAAGAAAAAAAAATTCCTCATTACACACATTAATTACGAACGAAATATCCTTATAGTAGGTAAGTTACAATTGTTAAACTACAGCTTGATGCATGTAATATTTGAATTTGTACAATTTGTTTGAAAAAATATCCACAAGAAGAATTTTTGGATCACATTTTAAATTATTTAATTTACCTTTATAAATAAAATATTATTTTTACATATTTACGTACTAAATAATATGTTACAAGTACCTAAGGAGAATCGAGCCTAGACTTTGGAATTAAAAATAATACTTTTAAAATTCAGAAAATTAGTTCTAATTTTCTAAAACCTGTACAGTATTTGTAACACTATCTGAATGAATGAATATGAATAAATGAATATTTATTTAGTTTCAACAAACACAGTTATGTTAACAATTAAAAGAATATAAAACTAAGGCATTAAACCAAATAGGTAACATACCTAGAAAAAAGTAATTCAAATATCGTACCGATTAATCGGTACGATATTCGAATTATTTTTTCTTGCAACTAAACTGAAGACAACAATAGAAACTGTGGTAAGGTCTATTGCGGGTATTATAAATATAATCATATTATTACAAGTATATTAGAAAATAGTTTAAGACAAGAAGTCAAACGAAAAAAATCTAAATCTCTTTCTTATTCTTATAACTGATCGTTCCATGTTATTTATTATATTTATATAAACGTTTTTTGAGCAAATTATAATCGTTTTTACTTACTCAGAACGATCTCACCGAATATATGGACGTAAATCAAACAATGACGTTAAAATCTAACACCGACATAATAAACGGGAAGTGCACGTGGACAGCTGTTGCAGCCTTGAAACATTTCAATGCGGAACAAAGGAAGATTTTCGAGGAATGCTACAATAGTTCTGACCCGGAGAAGATTAAACGCGTGCTACGGTTGTACGACGAGGTGAACATGCGAGACTTGTACAGGAAAGAGGAGAAGGCACGATATGACTTGTTCTTGGAGAAGGTTAGCAAACTGCCAGCAGACAGTGTACCATCTCCCGATTTCTTTATCACTATCCTGAGGTACTTCCAGAGTTACACCACCAACATCTCAAGATATTACTACATTTAAACGACTGTGTCAATTTTTAAATTTATATTTAAATAAAGTGAACTTTTATAAATTTTTCAATATTTTTTACCGCAAAGTGTCAATTAAACAGACGGAAACTTATCGTGGAGCGTAAAATCGTAAATTGTTTAATGAATTTATACTTTTTCTAATTATACAAAATCGTTGCCAAAGGCTTTAAAATTTTATATGGGGGCATCCCCTGATAAAAACGGCATGTTAAAAACTAAATATGTTGCATTTTAAGAAACTTTGGATCTATATTTTGGACTAATTTCTGGATTCACATTTAAAACTGCCGGCGTTGCATATTAGATATGGTATTCTTAATGATCTTTCATAACTCGGTAGCTTAATTGCTAAGCTATTGGCATCGGTGACTGGCGTCCTGGGTTCGATTCCCACACGGGAATAGTATTTGAGGACCCTCACAAATAATTGTTTTGGACATGGGTTACCCAGGAGGGATGACTTCAAGCAGGCGCCAAAAACTGCCGAAAGCACTTAACAACATGATTCAAATGTTGTTCTGATCCCATCTTGATGGGACAATGGTAAGAGGATGATGATGATTATTAACAATCTTTCCGATATTCAAGTGTCATTAATTTGAATTAACAAAATTTTATTACGTTTTCACATCGATGATCAATGCAAAATATTTTGGCGTGGAAGATTCCGAAAAGTAAAGTTGGCGATGACAAGCGCACAAGACAGAAAAGCAAAACCTTTGTTCTTTTTATGTGAGAAGTTTATGTTTATGTCACCTTATTTTAAGAGATAACTGCCCCCATTGACATTTATAACATTTTAATAAATGAGCCCCAGCTACCCCACTCAACAGACGTAACGCGTAGTCTTCTGTGAGGTCGTGGTACTTACCGAACGGATCTGGTGCAAAAATCGCTAGACCAGGTCTGTTAGTTTACAGCGGTACAGTTAGTTTAGTACCAGTCACACGTACAAGCAAAGTAAAAGGTAACAAGAGGCCTCATTTGTCTAGAGGGTATAAAAGCACCCCTTCGACCAGGTTCCCGCCTTGTTGTGGCAGAGGGGCTTGAGTAGTCGTGGCTTAGACACACACGGTGAAACCAATATTAACCCACAATGGGTTGGCCTGAGGTATAGGGCCGCGTGGGCCGCTCCGAGTGGGTTCAATGAGCCCACTCTGGATGCGTGCTGAGAGGGTGCAGCGGACAGGTCGAGGATTGTAGAGGAGGAGCCATTCTCCTTGCTTCACTTCTCCCTGATTCACAACATATCACGCCTAAATTAGGGCCAATCTAAAAGTAAACTAAAATTAATTTGTTTCTGTTTTTCCCACACGATAATTAATATTGTTCTTGCTCGTTTACATATTATGGATGAAGATTTGAAATGTCTTTCAGAAAATAAATGAAGTCATGTTAATAAATATTCAAAAACTTTTTTATGTTATAGCCATACTTTCAATCTAATTTTTTTTACAATCGCATATAATTTATTTGGTGCGGACGCGTTGTTATTCAAAACTTTCAATGTTTTGTACAATAATTTGTATCAAGATGTTAATCAGGCAATCGTGACACTGCTTATATATTTCTACGAGATTTTTTTTTAAATTGCCATAAATTGATTTCCTAACTAAAAATCCACTTCTTTATCCTTCAATTGCTAATAAATATCTAGTTTTTTCACGTACTGGTAAAACTGCATTTCTTAAATAATAGAGAGTAGTAACCCTTACGATTATGTATCCTATCATATCCTATACATCGTGTTTTCGCAAAGTTATAGCATTTTAATCTACCCAGCGGTGGGATCGAGAAAGGAAATAACGTTGGGGGCGCATTTCGACCCGCTGCCGCACCTAATGATGGGTTATGATTTTATGTACCGCAGCAGGTGTTATTATATAATTATGACATATGATATAGTTCTGAACGAACGTATATTACTGGTCAACGTACATTGAAGGGGTCAAAACTGTTCATTATTAGGGTTCCGTACGCAAAGGGTAAAACGGGATCCTATTTCTAAGACTCCGCACTCCGTCTCTCCGGCAGCCACGAGGCTGTATTTCATGAGCCGACAAGGGTTACAATCCCACAAACTTGGATTTTTCTTCAAACTTCTCTGACATATGTAATCCCACATGTACATTTTCAATGGACAAATTTTAAATGAATAAATGACAAAAATTCATTACTTCTTGTTTATTATATCGAACATAAACACCTTATAACAAAAATTAAGGAAGACACCGTTTAATGATTATCGTACATCAAAGTAAGATCTTTGGTGAAGGTATCAAAAAAGTTGTACAACTCTATGAAAAACTCAGCTGAGGGCGTTGAGGATTTGGGCAGTGCGTTCACTTTCCTGAAGAAAACGTCGCGGCGCGAGGCCACCTCTTCCCTGTACAAATTTATAATGTCTAACTCCTTATACAATTCGTGAATACGCGCCGCCCTCTCCGGCTCCCAGCTGCCATAGTTCTCTTCGAAAACACGCCGCTGCTCAGGACTGCATTTCTGCAAAACGGTCACGGCTGGCCACGAGCATTTGCCTTCTTGGATGTCTGTTCCAGTTTTCCCGGTCACCGTTCCTTCTGCGATGCATATGTCTATAACATCGTTCTGGAAGAATGTTCACTACGTCGAAAATTACTTGGATTCGTAATAGGAATAAATTAAAGTTTTTGTTCACTTCGGTGAACTGAACGAGTGGTGGCCCATGGCTACTAACTACAACAGGGTTATTGCGGTTTAGTTACTCACTGCGAGTGCGAGCTTTCATTCACCTCACTAACCGGATGAAACTCAAATATACTGTATATTTGAGTGTCGTCCGGTTAGTGAGCTGGGAAAGGCTAGCAAACACTGGTGCGCTGGTTCATTGTGCGTATACATCGGCATGTCTGTTCTTGTAAGTACCACAACCTCACAGAACACCGGAGTGAAGTGGAAGTGTTATATACTTCTGCTTTCGTTTGGTGAGTGAGGTAGCCAGGGCCCATTTTATTAAAAGGTGGCAATGCATCCGGTGCAACCTACGGGTGTTGTAAATGTCAATGGGCGGCGTTTATCACTTAATAGGTGAACCTCTAGCTCGCATGCAAACTTCTAAAAAATCAGATTAATTTTTTGCCTCTTCCATAAATCTCCAATCTATACATGCTTGTCGCTTGTTTATTCTTACTATGAGTTCGGCATTCACTCATACGGTATACGATATGTAAATATTGACTTACATGCACTTGGACCAATCTGCCCAAATCTTCACAAACGTCGTCCACAATGTTGTACGATTCGGGAGTAAATTTATTAGCTAACGCTAAACCTATTAATATAGGACATTTGCTGGCATAGAACGAAGATTTACCCCATACTATTTCGTTATAAGTTTCTTGTGTAAACTTACTATAGTCTTTTGACTTTGTCACAATGGTATCATGATGTTGGCCCATGGAGGAAATGAAGAAGTTCTGTAAAATTAATAAATATTAAGGACACATTCTACATGTATTAGTTCGCTTCATAGTTGATATAATATAATATAGTATAACATAATCATTCAACTAACTCGGTTGTAGACGTACAGCAGATTCTGACGTAGTTCACCGTCAAAATTTTGCTCGATTGTTTCATTGATGAGGCTTCTTATGAGGCATGCATCGTTAAGGGCAAGCAATCCAGTATCTGGGCGTAGGTGCCAGCATGGCTTTCCGCACCTCACCTTGGCTCCATCTTCCAAGTCATCCCAAAAATAGTAGTAAGTTTGTATCTGTAACGATAAAATCTAGTATTGACGCAAACGTTAATCATTAAATATTATATTTAATAATTAAACAATAACAGATTTCAAAAATTTTTAATAAAATATATAGAGATACTATTCACATAAACAAACCATAGTGTAATGTTAATCTTGGATGAAACTGATTTGTCACGTTTATTTTTAACAATAAAATTTTAACGTCTAACGTTTTAATGCTACAGACCGCATCGTCTGACTATGAAAGCTACAAGAATGTCGCTACAATGGGAAATAAAATCCTACTAATATTATAAACGCGAAAGTTTTTATGTATTGATGGATGTTTGTTACACTTTCACGCAAATAATACTGAATGGATTTTAATGAAACTTTACAATAGTATAGCTATACATCAAAATAAAACATAGGCTATAATTTATATACATATTTTTATGTAAATCTGTCCTTCTGTCTGAATATTACGCCTTCAGCCTATTCTACGCAGACTTAGTCGCGGGCAGCAGCTAGTTAATAATATTAACGACAAACCGTAAATATAGTTTCATTAAATAATGTATGGTGTTCGCGCACATATAAGGTATTGTTATTTTTATTAGAGTCACTATGCAACATTTAATGAGGCCATTTATTTTTATCATTCTTATAACTAGCCTCTTATGACACATACACAAACAAGGTTTCAAACTTTGTGTATTGAATGACAATATACCACGTGGCTATATGAATACTTACCAGAACTTAGATAGTACACTTTAAATTAACTTTTGCGATTAATATGTTATTTTTCCGAGTGGTAGCATCTGAGTAAGCGTTTCACTAGCCGCCCATGAAGGTCTACAAATGCAGGCAAATTGCAGGTGCGTCGCCAACCACTAAATAAGCCTTTTTTGCCTACTTCACTCAGCAGATGCAAACCAAAGTATAAAACAAATAAGTTTACATTCATACAGTTTTCTGCTGAAGGACCACGTCTATCTAAAACTGTTGCGAAATAACACGTACCAGTTCCATTGTGGTGGCTAAAACTTTAATTTTGTCCATCAGCTCTTCGTTGAGTGGTGGTTTTACATAATATTCACATGTGAGGGCCATAAACTCTCCTTGTACCGGCCTTCTTTCTACCATGTAATATTCTGTGAGCTGAAAAAAAGTGAAATATATATGCGAAATAAAAGTTCGATCGTTCAATCGACTCTTCACTGAATATTTCAATAATATAGGTGGCAATTTTCATACACAAGGTGTTTAAGAATTTGCATGGCATACGAACATTATTTAATTACAGCTATTCTGGAATTAAATACAGTATCATCGCTTAGTAAACATATGAATTTGGATGCTGGTAAGTTGATATGATACATTTTTATATTAAATATATGAGCACCGTCAATCTATTATCAATTTAACCTATACTATATTCATTCTTCAGGAACCTATTATAATTTAATAACTATAATATAAAGGCTTATGTTAGTTTAGGAATAGCCACATCAAATATATTCTTCGTGTGTCATATATACAGCGTGTCTTTACCACCGCGACAATAAATGAACACACGTCTAACGCTACTTGCCAATAATCATAAAAAAATATTAACGGTAAAAAAAATCCATAATTAAAAAAAAATATTTTTCAAACAAACTAATTAAGTAAAAAAGAAACAAAATTTGTAACATTCTATACAACTCGCGCCACAGCGTCGTACAAGTCGTCATTACAAGCCTCTCCTTCTAACAGTATGTTTTGTCTCTTTTAAATTCATTAAACCCATTCATATGCTTTGTGACCTTTACAAATGAACTTTACGTTACAGTTTTATACGTAAGGGTGTTCTAAAATTCTTTGTTTTGGAAAATTTTATAACTCGGTAAATATTGTTGTTTAAAGAATGTAAATGTTTAATACAATTTTAAAAAGTTGTCCTCTATATATGTGTTAATTTATTGTCGCGGTGGTAACGACACGCTGTATAAGATTGATCAGAAAAGCACATCGTATTTCATGTTTATAACCAACCCATCATGACAATATACAAATTACGGTAATCATTTAAACGGAGTCATCTATCCATATACAAACCCGACGTATATTATTGTAACAAATTTTGCTTTATTAAACAATTAGTTTACCTCTTGCAATCTAGCCCTCATTACAGATGATTTTATGAACGTTGCTTTGTTCAAAGTATTTGCGATAACTTTCGGCACATAATTGGGGAAGTCCTTGGCAACGACTTCACGTATGGAGTCCTTTTTTATCGATGTGGGTGCCCTGAGTATTAAAGCAGAATTTGGTTAATGCACAATACTTTCTACTAGCCTGACCCAACAATACTAAATCAAGAAAATCTGAAAACCAAAAAGTTTCAATTTGCCTTGAACATTCAGCAGAAAATTTGGATTATAATAATAGGGATGTTCTTTTTAAGCTCGATCCGATCTGATCGCATACTTATCGCGAGTACTTGATCCGATTTGCAAAAAATCGATCTAGAAAATATGTGACTTTTATTTTAAACAAGAAAGGTTGGGGTGATGAACTTAACATTCAAAAAAGCAACAAAAATACATTATAATTTTGGCTCGTCCAATAAAGAAAAAAAATCAATTTCTAAATTTGACACAAAATGTAAACAAAATGTCTGGAAAAAATGGAGCCCCAAGTAAATATTTTTTTATTCTGTTTTTTAGTATTTGTTAAAGAAGCAAAAGAAATACATTATCAGCTGTAAAAATTTAAACTGTTGACAGAACTGCCTAGTGACAGAAAGATGACAAATAGACAGACAGCGGAGTCTTAGTAATAGGGTCCTGTTTTATCCTTTGGTTACGGAACCCTTGTTTTTTTTTTTTTGGATCAGGGGGAAATCTTCAAAAGATACCTTGTCACCTTCCACCAAAACCCCCACGGTGGCCACCCTGTGTACGTTTGGAGGGACTCCGGGATCTCCCACGGAACGCACCGGAGTCCCACAGTACTACGCGTGAGCACTCCTCGGAGAAGAATAGGCTTTCCCCGATTAGCTCACCATCTTGCAGCAGGCAAGCTTTTGATGAAGTGTTGATAAGTTGTTTTTGATAAATTGCTTTTAATAAAGTGGGCCACACCACACTCGGATTATATATATAAAAACCAAAAACTGAACTATATTTTTTACTAAACATTGTTGGTAAAAGACAAAGTTCAGTTTTTTATTAATTAAGAAAAGATATATATATATATATATATATATATATATATATATATATACTCACCAGCTTGCGTTATTTCTCCTAAAGTTTAAAATGAGTCTACGCGACATTTTCCTTGGCGGCTGCAAATATAATACTATCGTAGTGTATATCCAAGGAGATAACAATAAAATAAAATTAGTGGATCTGTCTTTATAAAGCCTAACTCTCTTGACAAATTGTTTCATTTCAAACAAAAAAATTGCGTAAATCAACTTCATGAATTATTTATTTTATTTTTTTATTTTTTTTTGTTAGGAAAACTAACACCTGGGGCATTCCACGCGAAGCGGACATGTAAAAAAAGCTGATCTTTCCGATTTTAGTAATATTTGATTATGTTACAATCCAATAACCAATAGAAAAAAATTATTTCCATTTATCTTTTCAATACCGGATAATGGTGGTGCATACCTGCCGGTTAGTCACATTTTTAAAGCTCTCTAAATCGTAAACTACATTTTATACTGTAAAAATATTTTGTATCTGGATTGAGGACACATATAGGTATAACATAATCAAATATTACTAAAATCGGAAACATCAACTTTTTTACCTGTCCGCTTCGCGTGGAATGCCCCACCTATTAAGTACTTATATTAAAAGAATATTGTATCATATATAAAGAGCCAATTAAAAGCTTTAGCTTAAACCACCTTTAGTACATAATTAATCACGTTTTAAGAAAAGTCGAGCAAGAGATGAAAGAAAAAAAAAAGTTAAAAACGTAGTACATAAATCAAATTCAGAACTTTGTACTTAATTAAATATTTTAGAAAAATATTGCTCTTTTAAAGTTTCTTTAGCCACAGTTGGAGAGGTAAGGATGGGTTGATATTTCATGCATTAATAAATTTAGCAGTCCTTATCATAATATAATTGCATGTGTAAGTCGTATTAGCTCTGGGTATGTAAAGAAGTTTGCGGCTGCACGTGTTTGCTATACACATACATTTAGTGTTGTCTGATAATAGTTCGTAGGAGTTAATTGCAGAGTTTCAGGTAAAAACACTACTAATATCACGCTGAACGGACAAAGGAAGAAAATAGTACCTATGGCACCTATCATTGTAGTCACGTGAATTATTACGCACTCTATAATCAAGGTATCTGAAAAATCTTTCCTGGATACCCGAGTATTCGAGGATATCCCCTGGATATTCGATTATAGGTAGTATTCGGAGTATTCGTACAAATTAGCAGTAAAGGATTTTTATTGTTTTGAGGTTACTAAAAATAAAGAACAACGAATAATGAAACCCATAGCTTTATATGCTCTGGATACGATATGTGGTTGTCCAAGATGAGTTTTGGATCATGAACTACTCCTAGATTGCGTGCCTCATGTACTCTAACAATCGACATTCCCATTAAGTTATATCCTCCATTAAAAATATTGATTTTCCTTATTAACGACATAAAGAAGCATTTAGACGCATTCAGATCTAGTTTGGTTTTGTTACGATACATTACAAGTCTTTGTAGATCTGATTGAAGCAATAATGTGTCCTCCTTACTAGTGACGACTTTAAGTACTTTCATATCATCAGCGTACAGGAGTTCTTTAGAGTGCATAAAACACCTCTCTATGTCGTTAACAAAAATAGTAAAGACACAAGGACCCTTGAGGTGCCCTGAGGAAATAGGTAACCATGCCGACATTAATTGTCCATTCAGTACAAATGATTGTAATCTGTTGTCAATATATAAGGCGAAATAGGTGCAATATTGGTTAGGTTTGCGAATCGGCATCTATTTTAGATCCCCCTAAATGTTAAGGGTGTTCTACCCCTATTTTTTTTTATTTTTTTGACAATTTTTTTATGATACAGCATACCAAAAATAAATACAACCCTAAATTTTAACCCCTCTACGATCAACCCCTGAACAACAGTTGACAACCTTCGACACATTCTAGCTTGCACGTCAAGCGGTCGAGGCATTTTTTAAACAATCTGTTCACTAAAGCACTTAGTAAACTGCAGTCCAAAAATTTGCACAGCCAGGAGGAAATGCGACTTATTTTAAATCGAAAACAAGCGTCATGCGCGTAGTCGTTACGTCACTGGCGCGACTGACAAGTGTGCAATTCGATAGGGAAAGTGGCGGGCGGGGAATAGTGTGACGGGCGGCGCGCCTTTTTCTTTGTGCCAGGCCGGCCGCCGGCCGTACCTAAGGACATTGAACTTGAATTATTACATAATTTTCTCTTCAGTTTGTTGACCTAATCGTTCGTTACGTGTTTTTATTATTTTTCCTGATTATTTGGAATAATAACATATTGTAACGTGAACACAAAATATTATATTGAATGTTAATTACATTTTTGAGGATTTCCGTACGTACATTAATAATGCATAAATATTTTTTGATCTGTGACGGAGATCTCAAACGTGCCGCTCGCCTTTTGTTCTCCAACGACGTGCTATCACCACATACCACTGACACCCTTCAGGCCTTACGGACAAAACATCCTCCAGCTCCCATGAACCCATATTTTCTCGACCCACCAACAGCAGGGCAAACATGCCTTCAAATTCAAAACAAAGATGTTACGGATGCCATTTTATCTTTTAAACCAGGTTCGGCTGCAGGTTTGGATGAAATCTCACCCCAACTTTTGAAAGACTTAACATCGCATTCTGTGGGTGATGCAGGCGAGCAACTTGTAAATTCGATCACTAAATTAGTCAATCCAGAAATTGTACCCATTCTTTTTGGCGCGAACCTCATTGCCCTCACCAAAAAGGGCGGTGAGACCAATTGCTGTTGGATCAACACTACGACGTCTGGCGACCAAAAATGCTGTTTGACACATTTTACCAAAATTAAATTCGGAATTTGAACGGTGTAAAAGAAGTATGTGAGGCAGCCGTCCATGCCCCATGCTCTATCGTGACTTTCGGACAGCCTGACGTTTTGCTCAAAATTGATGCCGAAAATGCATTTAATTCAGTAAATAGGGATACCCTATTGACGGCAATAAAACCAAAATAATTATCTTCTTCTCAGATACGCTGACCCAACAAAATTGTTGTATCGTCCTAATGAACTGTCCTCGGAAGTAGGTTGTCAACAGGGTGAGATCTCCTTGGGCCTTCAATTTTTAGTTTGGCTATAAATCCGATAATCAAAAATTTAAATTCTAAATTCAACGTTTGGTATTTGGACGACGGAACCCTAGCAGGTGATGTGGATACTGTGTTTCCGGACCTTTTTTAATCAAAAATAAATATGAAGCCATTGGTTTGGAGCTTAATTTTAGCAAATGCGAAAACCTTCCTATCTTCGGTCCATAGTTCAGCAAATCTCATATGTTAAATTTTAAGGGCATCCCCCACAAACTTTGAGATTGCTGGCTTGGAAGAAGCTAGAAAGGCTTTCTTAATTGCATGCCCAAGTCAACATTTTCCAGTTCCTCCAAATTCACAGAGGAATTCACGGAGCTGGGACGACATAAACTGCAAATTGACTTATGACAATCTTTTGAGCTGTAGTACAGGTTCGGCGCGTGCTAGGCTTTTGACCGTGGCTGCGCATGAGGCTGGCTACTGGCTTCACGCGTAAAAAGTAAAAAGTAAAGTAACAGCCTATACATGTCCCACTGCTGGGCAAAGACCTCCTCTATACAGAGGGTATCAGGACATAGTCCACCACGCGGCCCCACTGCGGATTGGCGGACTTCACATATCTTCGAAATATTTTTTTTTGTAATCATTTCGAAAATATGCAGCTTTCCTCACGATGTTTTCCTTCACCGCGGAGCACGTGATAAGTCAGCACTTAAAGTTAAAAACTTCTTTGGTGCCGGCACCGGGGATCGAACTCAGGTTGCTCGAGTATATTGAATTAAAGGCGAGCGCCCGGACACTAAGCTATCACGGCTCTTCCGGTCTGTGCTCCTCATAAATGTCCCTGTGGGAGTGATGTCGAAAAGCTAGGACATCATGGACTGTCATGCCAAAAAAGTGCACACCGCTTCTCGAGACATGCCGCACTTAACGATATCATACGCCGCTCCCTTGCCACCGTCAACGTGCCAAGTCTACTTGAGCCGACTGGCATTGCAAGAGACGATGGCAAGAGACCGGTATGAGTTTGATTCCATGGAAGATGGGCCGGATGCTGGTATGGGATGCAAACTGTTCAGACACGCACCCTTCCCATCTACATGGAAACACCAACAGAGCTGGTGCAGCTTGTGAAGCGGCTGAAAAAGCTAAAGCTTACAAATACAGGGGTCTAGGCTCCGAATATGATTTTGTCCCATTTGGTGTCGAGGCTCTTGGTCCGTGGGGTCCTAGCGCTAGAAGGCTTTTTAGAGAAATAGCAAAAAGGTTATTCGACATCACAGGAGACCGAAGAGCTGGCGGCCACCTCGGACAAAGAATTAGTCTAGCTATTCAAAGGGGGAACGCTGCCAGTATCTTCGGAACCTTGCCTAAAGGGACTCCTTTTAATAATATATTTTAGTTATAATATTATTTTAAGGTTTTTAGTTTTAGGTTCATTGTTATAGTATATATTTTGTATTAGTTTATCATTTGAATGTTATTCCAAGTTATTTGATTAAACCGTTATCAATAGTATATTTTTTTTCATTAACATAATTTTAGTCTTAATGTTACTACTCGTAGTATCATGTTAGTTTAAAAAAATGCTCATGACTTGAATTTCACCCTGTATAAACATAATTTTAGGGAAGTTCTGTTTGAATTAAAATTATGTTTGTTTAATGATTTTTGGCTACTGCTAATTTTATTAAGACTTGTAGATAAAATTAACGAAAAGTTTTTCGCCGCTGCGAGAATCGAATCTACGTCAATAAGTGGCGAAAAGCTTTTCGTTCATTTTTCTTCAAATTTTTTTAATCTCCCGTTCGAATTATCGTATTCAAACTATACGTAGGTATAAGCGTAAGTCCGGGGTATAACTGCATATACAGCATCGATTAAATGTATATATAATCTTAATTTAAAACAAGCTCCGAAAGCTTTGGAAATCGATAAAAACAATATGTCATATATCTAACAATCAACAAAAGATCCCAGTGAGTTACTATCTAAAGGAACTTCAGATGCCAAAAAAGCTCTCGATATCAGTAATGCTCACTTTTATACAGTTGGGGAAAAATTAGCAAGTAAAATTTTAATGGAGCTCAACATAAGCGAGAAACAGTTAGCCTCCAATACCAAATGTAATAACACCCAGCAAAACTCTTTTTTTCTGAAACCTACTGATGTCTATGAGGTTGATTCATTTATTAAAAGACTCCAAAATGATAAATCTGTAATTGATTGACTGGACAACTTCTTGATAAAGGAAATTAAGAAATTATCCACAGAAGAATTCCCAGAAATGTGGAAGCTGGCTTCGGTTTGTCCATTTCATAAGGCAAGTAAGAGACATTCCAAATAATTACAGACCTATCTCACTATTAGGAGTTTCCTCTAAGCTGCTTGAAAAAATAATTAATAAACTACAAATAATTTCTATATTTATACGTTAGTATGTTTATTTTTATATTTATATATTTTATAGTATTATTTATTACATATTATTTTATAGTATTATACGTTTTATAATTTTGATAACTTCTATTTTTTTTTCTTAATATATTTCGCTTATTAACTATGCTTTAAGCAGAGTTTAGAATATAAGTAGGTATGTCTACATACATACATACATATGTTTTATATACCTACCTATCATAATTTGTTTCTAATCTTACGTCAGGGTTTGCTGGAAGAAAACTCTTTTTAGGGTTAAGCTCGCCTTTGTACATTATTTGTTTTTTGTAATTTTGTTTTCTCTTATACTCTGTGTACAATAAAGAATAAAGAAAGAACAATCTTCTTGAGGATTATATCTAATTGGCTTAAGTCTAATCTTTTAATCCTTAATGCCCAAAAAAACAAAATATATTTGTTTCCACAAAATGTCAGCCACGGCACCTCCGCCTCATTCTGTCATAAAGATACAGTCTTGTATGATTAATCAAAGACTGTAGGATGTAAAACAAGTTTCCCTCAAAGTATTAACTTTCATTTTCCTTTTGCTTTTAATACATTTATTTTGACAGTTTGTTCCTTTTAGCGGAAAGCAAAGAACAGAAAATAGTTTCATAAATAAACAACTTAAGGGGAGATTTTAAATTGTAAATGAACAAATGATAAACTTTAATTACTTCTTATTTATTATTTACAACATAAACATCTTACGACAAACATTAAGTAAGACACCATTTAATGATTATCGTACATCAAAGTAAGATCTTTTGTGAAGGTATTAAAAAAGTTGTAGAACTCGACGAAAAATTCAGCAGAGGGCGTTGAGTTTTTGGGCAGTGCGTTCACTTTTCTAAAGAAAATGTCGCGACACGAGGCTACCTCTTCCCTGTACAAATTTATAATGTCTAACTCCTTGTATAATTCCTGAATGCGGGCCGCCCTCTCCGGCTCCCAACTGCCATAGTTCTCTTCGAAAACACGCCGCTGCGCAGGATTACACTTCTGCAAAACTGCCACCGCTGGCCACGAGCATTTGCCTTCTTGGATGTCTGTTCCAGATTTCCCGGTCACCGTTCCTTCGGCGTTGCATATGTCTATAAGATCGTTCTAAAAGAATTTTCGCTACGTCAAAACTTACAATTATTCACGTTAGAAACAAAACTGACGGTTTTTATTTATTCCTGTGTTACGGCAATTGAACAAGTGGTGGCCCATGGCTTTTTACAGCTATCAATAAAATATCTCTTTTCAAATAGACGCTTGCGCGTTCTTATGTATCGTCAAATTTTACATAAAAAATTATACATATAAGTTCGTAAGGTACCACCGGTTCGGAAAGCAGTTTCTGTTGAGAAGAGACCGGCAAGAAACTCAACAGTTTCTCTTTTTCAAAAATATCAGTTTACAATATAACATACCGGTATAAGAGTCTTATTCTACCCTACGTGAGTATCAACAGTATTAACTCCACACATTGGCGTCGTCGAGATATTCCGCAATGGTGTAATAAATCGATTTATACTTTAACCATAAATCGATTCTTGATTTTACTGATTATTATTCTTGACTTATTCTTGATTTAAATTGATCAAGCGGCAGACTTAATATCGACTGTGGGATTTTATTATACATGAGCACACCTTGCCCCCTGAACGACCTATTTACTTTTTGTAGGCGAAACAATGGCGAAGTAAGTTTTTCCTTATTTCTAGTGTTTAATTTATGTCTGTCACTATTCTTTAGGTAAATATTAAGGTTATGACGAATATATGGTTTTGCTCTTCTTTCATCTTTGTTTTGCAACAAAGATGTTGTGGTTTTGCTACTCATCGTGAGTGCAAGCAAAAACAAAAACTACGGCTCTAATTTACGAGTAGTTCCGCTTATACGTGGCACAATATAATGTTTCGTCTATTCCTTAAATCTCCGAGACGAGGTACATGCTTGTCGCTTATTTTTTTGTTTTACTTACTATGCCGCACTCATACGCTATATAAAAAGTAAATATTGACTTACATGCACTTGGACCAGTCTGCCGACGGATTGCCCAACGTCATCCACGATTTTGTACGTTTCGGGTGAATATTTATTAGCTAATGCTAAACCTACTAATATCGGACATTTGACGGAATAAAACGCAGATTTACCCCATACTATTTGTTCATAAGTTTCCTGTGTAAAATTATTATAGTCTTTCACCCTTGACGCTATGGTATCATAATATTGGCCCATGGAGCAAATGAAGAAGTTCTGTAACATTAATAAATATGAATGAAACATTCTATATGCACTGGTTCAGTTGTTCGGTTTTTTCGGTATCTGATATTAGTTTAACTAACTCGGTTATAAAGGAACATCAGATTTTTTAGAAGTTCTCCGTCAAAATTTTGCTCCATTGTTTCATTGATTAGGCTTCTTAATAGAGATGCATCGTTAAGGGCAAGTAATCCAGTATCTGGAAGTACGTGCCAGCATGGTTTCCCGCATCTCTCCTTTGCTCCATCATCCAGGTCATCCCAAAAAAAGAAGTAAGTTTGTATCTTTAACAAAAAAAATATTATCGATAAAACGTTAGTCATTACTATCGTGACAAATAATTAAACAATAAAATATTTCATAATTGTTGCCTAAAATATACATAGATATTCACCAAACTAACATCGCCGCCCATGGACGTTTACAAATAGTCACGTACGCGTCGCCAACAACTGAATAAGCCTTTGCCTACTTCACTCAATAGATGAAGAGTCAAAAAAAAATTAGCTTCAAATCAAACAGTTGCCCATACCCATAAACAAAAATTCTTGCGAAATAATACGTACCAGTTCCAGCGTGGTCGCTAAAACTTTTATTTGGTCGTCAATCAGCTCTTGATTGTTTTGTGGTTTTGCATGATATTCATATGCGAGCGCCATAAACTCTGCTTGTATGGGCCTTCTTTCTGCCACGTAATATTCTGCGACCTGAAAAAAATAATTTTATAAAGTACATGGGCAAAATAAAACTTGGTGTAGAAAATTTGCTCTATATAAGTCAATTACATTCATCGTCATGTCTTCACTCAACGTTTCATTAATACGGTTGCATATCTAATAGACAAAGTACTGATGAATTTGTGTTCCGTACGAATGTATTTAGTAATTTTAGATTAAAATCCAATGTCATCACTTCACGCGGGCAGTTTCAATTTTCTATCTATCTTTATAGATGAACAATTATGTTACTATCGATTGGTATTAAGATCGATTATACTTACGTATAAATTGCCTGCAGTAACCAAATCTACAGATATGTAGATTATTGAAACCGGCCGTTATAGTAAATGAACTCAGATCGATAATGAGGAGTACCGTCAATCTATTACCAGTTTCACTTACATTACATTCATTCTTCACTCACTGCCTTACTATAGTTATTTTAAAAGCTTCTGTCCATAAATGAATAACCACATCAAATAAATTTTTCGTCTACTATAAAAACTTGATCACAAAAACAAATTATCTTCCCTGTTCAGAACCCTTCATGAAAAAACAATACTTAATGTATATTTGAACACATATGTTACGTGATTTCAAATTACGGTAATAATTTAAACTATTATGGATGAAGACTTGTTATTTTAAAGTTTGTCACATTCAGAGAGTCATGTGATAAATTTATGTACAAACCTACATTATTGAAACAAATTTTACTTTATTAAACAATAAGTTTACCTCTTGCAATCTAGCCTTCATAACGGATGATTCTATGAACGTTGCTTTGTTCAAACTATTTGTAATGACTTTCGGCATATAATTACGGAAGTCCTTGGCAACAGCTTGGCGTAAGGAATCCTTTTTTATCGATGTGGGATCCCTGAGTATTAAAACAGAAATTAGTTAATTTACAATACGTTCAAGTCGTCTGACATGACGTCCACATGACTAAATTAAGTAGATGACAAACCTAAAAATTTCAATTGTTCTTAATTATTCGGCAGTAAAACGAGGAATAAAATAAGGAAGTCGAATTCATTCCCGCGTATAATGTTTAATGAAATTGTGTTCTATTCCGATAGTCTCTGCAAAAGACTTAATTCCAGTTATCCTGAGACCTTATCAAAGAAGTGCTTCTCGAGTAGCATCGATAGATCCTGCTTCGTCTTTGATTGTTATGTGACCTTCACAGGGCAAAGAAGCAAGCAACTCATTTCGTGTTTAGTGATTGATAGAGATGCTTTGCAACCTTTAATAAAGTGGGCCAGGTTTACTCCACTCAGTTGAAATGCACTAATATAAATAATTCGACTTTTCTTTGATCTTCTCTTCAGTTTCCTTGCCAAAGAGCTAGGCTTTTTTAACATTATTTTATGTTTTATATTTTATGTTAGTTTATATTTTATGTAACTACTAGACTAAAAATATGTTTTACTGTATTTTGATTATTTATACATACTACATATACATACAGATAAATAAAATTGGAGTGCCTGTTTGTAATATTAAAATTACTACTTTTTACTAAATGCATATGGATACGATACATTTACCAAAATATTTTTTTACAATTTTTGTCTGGCTGTCTGTCTGATTGTTCCAGCTAATCTCTGAAATAGTTGGACCGATGTTAAAGGGACTTTCACTGGCAGATAACTGATATAATAAGGAGTAACTTAGGCTACTTTTATTTTAGATATTTTATTTATTTTAAAATCCAGGCGGACGAAGTCGTGGGTACAGCTAGTGGTATAGTAAGTATTAGCCACATGAAAACCCTATTCCAGAAATAAAAATACAGTAACCAGGGTAATACACGCAGATATTTAAAGCGATCTATACCGTAAGGGCAAATCTGTTGAATACATCAATTTGTATATTTCGAGGCCCATAATTTCCAGTTTAATATCTAGCATCTCATTTTTACAGTTGTAATTTTGACCCCATTCGCGTATTTTTCGGGCAGGGAATAAAACAAGAGATCATGTTATGACACAATGTTAATTTTTAAAAAGCGGTACAGATCAAAAGGTGTTTTCATTAAAACCAAAAACATGACAATGTTTAGTGAAAAAGAGAGGTCAGTTTTTTATTTTACTATATACCATAAGTCCCCTATTCGATATAAGAAATGATTTATACTCACCAGCTTGCGTAATTTCTCGTAAAATTTAAAATGAATCTTCGCGACATTTTCCTTAGTGATTGAAAATGTAATACTATCGAATTGTGTATAATATCATGGAGGTAATAACAATACATTGAAATCTGAAGTGACCTGTATTTATAAACTCTTATCTTCTTGACAAATTACTTCTTTTCAAACAAATTAATTACGTCTATCAAGTTCTTGAGTTATTCATGTTGTTCACCCACGAAACGCATAACAAAAATACGTAACAAGAAACAAATATACATTATTTGAAAAATCTAGACTATAAGAAAGAAGTAGAATCGGTGTGCATTGAATATATTTATGAAAAAATTAAATAGGGTATCACAAAAAGAGTTATATGACAGACAGAAAACATTTTTGATAATTTTTTCTGTCTTTCTGTCTTTTCGCTTATAACTTCAAAACTACTTAACGGATTTTGATGCAATTTACACAGTTACTTGAGCTTAACTTGGGGCAATATATATTTGGGCTTTGTTACATCGCAATTGGTTCACTAAAACGGAAGATATGCGAATACTATGATTCAATCAGTGCAGCCGCAAACTGTTTTATCAAAATTAGCACACTACCGGATCAATTAGGTTGGTGTTTTTGAAAGAATAATTATGAAGATTACTCCTGTGCAACATTCAAGCTTTGTTTCATCGCAACCCTTTCACTGAAACAAAAGACACACATTATAAAGTACTGTATCAATATGAACAGTTTTTAATTTTTCCGGATGACAATTCGCAATATGAACGTACAACGTACAAAACGTGCTATCAGCGAGAAAGATTATGGCAACCTGATTTTCAGTTTCAAAATAAAAAGGTGTTACTTTACACATACTAAAATTGTTAGAACTAAAATACACCTCAAGTAATTTACGGATACGAAATTAGTTCCGACGCAAAAACTAGATGACGTTGTTGAATTCCTAAAATTCACTTTTTATAATGTTTTTACATTTTAATTATTACCCATCTCTGGGCGCGAGCCCCCTAGTACGAGCTACTTGTATTTGACCGCATTCAACGTAGCGCGGCTCGGGATATCAACACTACAGAAGAGATGAATACCTAATGGGGAACGACACGGTTATTTTCAATTTAAATTTTCGCCAAATCCTTCCTATCATTACTCCAGAAACTAAAGCCGACGAGACTCACTGGAACGTTCTTATCTCTGGCCTCAAATACAAAAGCTGCGGTTGACAGTTAACGTGCAAGCTCAGATGAGTAGCTGGTAATTTGACTGTGCCTAAGAATGGTATTCACATTCTTAGGCACAGTCAAATTTTTTGTTAAAAATTAGCGAAGGCTCCCTTTCAGAAGAAAATGATCAAGCGAGTCTTCCGGACATTCTTGGTAGGTGTGGTTAGCGTGCTCGCGGGTCAGTAATACGGACAATCTTTATGTACTAGCCCATGAATGTTGCACGTAAAGAGATATTTTATTGTATATCTGTCTGAATAATACGCTTTCACCCTATTCTGTGCGGTGGTAGTCGCGGGCAACGGCTAGTCTTAAAATATATTGATCGAAGGAGAGGACCATTCATAAATTTTTCGTTTACTATAAAAACTTGATCATAAAAACAAATTATCTTCCCTGTTCAGAACCCATCATGAAAAAACAATACTTAATGTATATTTGAACACATATGTTACGTGATTTCAAATTACGGTAATAATTTAAACTATTATGGATGAAGACTTGTTATTTTAAAGTTTGTCACATTCAGAGAGTCATGTGATAAATTTATGTACAAACCTACATTATTGAAACAAATTTTACTTTATTAAACAATAAGTTTACCTCGACTTTCGGCATATAATTGCGGAAGTCCTTGGCAACAGTTTGGCGTAAGGAATCCTTTTTTATCGATGTGGGAGCCCTGAGTATTAAAACAGAAATTAGTTAATTTACTATACGTCCAAGTAGTCTGAGCCCACATGACCAAATTAAGTAGATCTCAAATTTAAAAGTGCATCTCGAGTGGCATGCTTTCCGCTTCCTCTTTGATTTTTTTGTGAACTCGGCAAAGAAGCAAATAACGCATTTCATGTTAAGTGATTGATAGAGATGCGTTCTCTTTTCATCTGGCCCACTTTATTAAAGTTTGCAAACTTTAATAAAGTGGGCCAGATGAAATTCACTAATATAATAAATACTTCGCCTTTTCCTTGATCTTCAGTATAGTTTCCTTGCCCACGAGCTAGGCTTTTTTAACATTATTTTATGTAACTACTAGACTGAGAATATGTTTTAATGTATTTTGATTATCTATACATACTACATTTACATACAGATAAATATAATTGAAGTGTCTGTTTGTATTATTATGTTGTATGTATAGTATACACGGTACATATACCAAAATATTATTTTACAATTTTTGTCTGTGTGTCTGTCCGTTTGTTCCGGCTAATCTCTGAAATGGCTAGACCGATTTTGACGGGAATCACTGGCAGATAACTGATATGAAAGAGGGAGAGAGAGAGTACCTTAGACTACTTGCATTTTAGAAATTTTATTTATTTTAGATTCCACGCGAACGAAGCCGCGGGTACGGCTAGTGTTATAATAAGTATTACCCACATGAAAACCTCATTTCAGAAATAAAAATACAATAACCAGAGTAACACCTTATATAGCGCAAATATTTAAAGCGATATTCACTTAACATTAGGTAAACCGTCTGCTCGCTTGGCAACTTTTCGCATAAAAAAACCGTGCAATATTCAAGCTTTGTTTTATCGCCATCGTTTCATTTAAACAATATATTATAAAGTACTGTATCAATATAAACAGTTTTTAATTTTTTCGTTATATATATATAAGATAATATTTTAAAGTGATTTGGATGACACAGCAATCAAAACACAATTGAGTTTCTCTGTAAGTAAAGAAACGACATTTAATGTTATTAATCACAATGTCGATTCCTAAATCACTATTTTACATTAAGTATTTTTGTAATAAAATTATTTTCATGAATTGTGTCATATGACAGCTTAATTCTTTTTATGTTATAATCCGGCGTCAGCCATAGTTTTTAAAATAAATTTTATTAGCGGCCGATGCATGAAAATATTTAAAACAAAGAAATTATTTAAATAAAAGAAAACAATATTTTTCTTTACATCTCCCCCTCCCAGAGAAGATAAAACATAACTACTACACATACATCCTCTTTATGGTCTCTCAGCATAGGCGCTGGAGTTGGTTTCGAGATATGGAAATAGCTTGACTCTAATTTCTTACAGTCAGTGTTTATCTTATAAATTGATGTTGATATTTTTTCTATAATTTTGTAGGGTCCGATTCTCAGTTCATCAAGCTTTTTCCTATTTAATTTGTTTCCATTGTCCACAAAAACAGCATCACCAACTTTGAATTCTATATGTCTTCGATTTTTATCGTAAATTTTCTTATTGTACTTATGTGATTTAATTGTATTTACCAGAGCCTTTCTCCTGTCTTGGATCAGGTCATGCTCGGTCTTCTTATGTTTTAGTTCATTTGGGAGAATTGCAACATCTGTGCCGTTTAAAAGATACTTTGGACCATAACCAGTGACATTGTGCTCCGTTTCATTATAATTTTTTACACACATTTGTGCTATAGTTGCCCATGCAATTTTCGTGTCTTTTTCGTTTATCTTACATCTTATTTTATTGACCAACGTTTGATTTAGTCTTTCGTTTAAACCATTTGAGAAGGGCGAATTCACTGCAGTAAAAATTATTGGAATATTCTTTTCACTTATAATCTTTTGAATTCCTTAGAATTTATACCTGGATATTGGTCTGAGAGAATCATGCCGAAATCGTCAGTTTCTGCACAGTTTTTCACTAGTTTGATGAAATCATTTGCATTTTGAGTACTTGATGTTAAAATGTATGCGTACCTAGTGAAATGATCTGATAGCAGGTGCAAGTATCTCTTTGTCGACCTTGAACCCCCAAAGCCTCCAATGGTATCAATGGGACATATCTCAAAAGGTTTTGTAGCGGGACCCAATTGGGACATCAATCCATATTTATTTTGTCCTCTGGACTTATTCTTTATACATACTATACAACTTTCGCAGATACTTTTTATGTTTTTTGTCATGTTTTCTGCTGTATACAATGAGCTAATCATTCTTTGCACTTGTTTAATTCCTAAATGACCTAGGTCTGTATGTACACTTTTGATTAATTCTATACTAAATTTCTCTGATAGAATAATTTTTTCCCTTTTCTTAACTTTCTTATAAAAAACATTATTTTTTTTTCAATAATTTATCTTTTTTGCACTGTATATTTTCATTGTTAACTTGATCTTTTAGGATATCTTCTAGTTTAATCATGTTAACCACTTTTAATTGTTCATCCAGATTTTCATTTGGTTCTAAGACTGGGTTCCTGCTTAGACAATCAGCTTCAATGTTATATCTTCCTGGAGAGTATTTAATTTGGAAATCATATTGTGATAGGTATTATGTCATATCTCCTAATTCTTCATCCTATCTTGACTTTATATTCATATTTTCCAAAGGCTTGTGATCGGAGAAGACAGTGAATTTCCTAACTATCAACATATTTTGCCAATACTTTACAAATTCTTTGATTGCTAAGCATTCCAGATATATAGCTTTTTTCCTTTTTTGAACTTCGTTAAATTTTTTTGAAAAATATGCTACTGATTTCTCTTCTTTGTTCTCTTGTGGCTGTTTTAAGACTGCTCCTACTCCCAGTATACTGGCATCTGTGTATATGTGAATTGGCAAATTAGGATCAAAAATGGTTAATATTGGTTGAGAACATAATATTTCTTTCATCTCATCAAATGACTCTTGGCATTCCTTAGTCCAGTTAATTGTCTTTTCTCATTATGCAATGGTTCTAATTTTATTGCTATGTTTGGCACATACTTGTGATAAAAGTTTATTTTTCCTAAAAATTGTCTCACATTTTTTTGCGATTTTGGAGTAGGGAAGTTTTTAATTGATATCAAGTTGTCTTTTAGAGGTCTAACTGAATTATTCTGTATTATGTGGCCCAAGTATTTAACTGAGTCTGCTGCAAATGTGCATTTAGCATATTTCAGTCTAAAACCTTTACTTTTAATTGCTTGAAATAACTTTTTTAAATGCCCGATATGTTCTTAGAAAGTTTTTGAGAACAACAAGATGTCATCGATGTAACTTACAGTGAATTCTCCGAGCGTATGTTTTCGTATAACATTACACATTATTCTCTGGAATATTGCTGGCGATGTTTTTAGGCCGAATGGTAAACAAGTCCATTGAAAGTGACCTTCCTGTGTGACGAATGCAGTTTTGTATCTGTCTGTGACACACTGAGGTATTGACCAAATTGCTGAATTCAGGTCCAATGTTGAGAAAAATTTGCAATCTCTTGTTTTTACTATTAGGTCTTCAATAAGTGGAAACGGCTGTGACTGCGGAACAACAATTTTATTTAGGTCACGAAAATCTATGCACAGTCTTGATTTTTTATTTTCTTCTCTTTTATAAGTAATTAATGATTATTAAGTAATTAATTTTATAAGTAATGTAACTGGGACTGCAAACGGACTATATGATTCTTCTATTATATTTTTTTCCAACAATTTCGCAATCTGATTTTCTATCTCCTTTTTATCTTCAATGGTGCAACGATATGGCCTTTTACTGCAATATTTTTCTACTATCAGATCAATATGTGCTTCATAATCCGTTACCGTTCCGATGTCAAATTTGTCCTTTGCAAAAAACAGATTTATTGTTCAATATTAAGTCATCAATTACTGCTTGTTTCTGATAGTCTAGATGATTTATACAAATTTTGAAGTTCTCTACATTGAAGTTTTCGTTGAAATTTATTAAATTATCAGATTTTATTTCCTTAGAAATATCAATATCTGTTTTATTTGTTTCCTTAGAAACTATTTCACTTCTTAGTAAAGGAACTTTCTGATGTATTTCTAAGTTTTCATTTTGGATTAAGTAAAACTTTTTTATACAATCTAGTCCAATTAAAAAATCGTAATCGAAATTTTCCTTGTCTATTACAAGGACATCCATATTTTTCTCAACATTAAAAATTGTTACATTAAGTGTTACTACGCCTTTAGCCTTTTTAACGCCATTAATTGTTTTTAAATTAGTATTGTTAGAATAAATTAATTCTTTATTGCTTATCTTTAGCAATCTTGAATTTATCAATGACACATTAGAGCCTGAATCATAGATTCCATATATTTCAACTTTTTTATTCAATACTAATTTTACTTTAATTAATGGCGGCATTATTAGTTTTTTTGGTCTTCATATTGCAGTTCACATTCCAATTCTGAATTGTTTATGAGCTTTATTTGTTTCTTATCTTTTTCTTTTTCATTATTTATATATGTTTTAAACCAAAGTATGTCTTCTGAATGATATCGTACACCTTTATTTAGTTTTTCACAAATGTTACATTTTTCGTTCATCATATATTGATGTTTTTTTTTAATAAATTTCCTCTTTGTAACCAAATGTTCTAGTTTGCCGAGTTGATCGAATAAGTCTTTTGTTTGTATAATATCTTCCTTGTTGATCCTATCCGTTATAAAATCTGGTAAGCCCGCAGCAATTACATCAATAAGGGTGCCTTCATCAATTGTTTTTCTTACTTCAAGCATAAGTTTTTCTTTTTTTATAGCATATTCTAATAAAGATCGATTGGTACTTGAAAAATAAAATGTACTTGCTAGTAGTCCAACCTTTATTAGCGTATGTTCGCAAAAAGTTTGGTTTCCATTCCAACCACTCTGATTGTAAACTAAGCTTGATCATCATGGAGGAATACCAATCAGTGCATGATTTTTCTAGAAACAGCCTGAAGATTTCAATTTTTTCTTCAT